CCCGTAACTGGCCTCTTTTAAACCGACAGATGAGATGGGGGCTGTAATAGCCTATCAATAACCAGCTTTTGCAATTAACGGCCGCCTTTTGGCAAAAGGATATCGCACCTCAAGCTACCGTACTATCCGGGGGCCCAACCCTGAAGATTCGACTGCACAATTTTGCAAACTAAAACCGCTCCGGGCCTCACGGCCCGTGACTGTGGGATAAGTGATCGGAGATAACCTTGATGGGGGCAAGCAATTCCGGGTAGTACGCGTATTCCAACACACTACTCTATGAAAACCTACTGCTACGTGCGGTGTACTTAGACATTGTCTAACGCGTCACGTTTACGTGTTCGCAGAGCTATGGCTCGAACTAAGCGGAAAAAGGACCCGAGAGGAGCTGGAGGAGGGTCTGCGGGAGAATGAACGCAATAACGCGACGCCTATACAGGAGAAAAATGATGCACGGAAACGACGAATGAACAAGCGCAGAAGGAAGCGCTGTGACTTGAACAGAGCGCTTCAAGCCCTCAGTGTGAACCAAGACGTTACAGAGGTTAAGTCGAGCGGTAGCTTTTGAAGAGCGAGAGGAGAAGACGGAAGAGTCCGATGCTGCGGTACATCAGCGGCGCTTTGCGGCTGAAATGGAGGCGGCGTATCAAGCTGAAACCGAGAATGTGGCTGTATTCCAGGCGCCTGTCGTATCAGAACCAACGGCTCGAGAAGAGGCCCCCGTCTCGGCTGCGCAGCGGGCTCGCGAGAAGAGAGCTAATGCGACACTATCCCAGATAGAACGACGACGTGCCGGTGATGCGGAACGGGCCGTACGAGACGAGCCAATATGACGCTCTCTCAACGTGATCGATCGAGGAAGAAAGACGCTGAGCGTAAGCGTGCCCGAAGAGCTCGGCTACGTGGAGAAGAGCTTCAGGAACAACGGGAGCAGAATCGGCAGCAGCAAGCCTCACACAGAGCAGAACTGAATGAACATGATCGGATAGCTGAGCGGCGCCCTAAACCGACAACGGCAATCCAATCGACGAGCAAGGGCAGGCAGGAGACGAGCGCCAGCAAGAACTCGAGCGGGTGCGCACTCGACGCCAATGCATCCGACGTGGACACGCTCTTATATCCCTCGAAGACTTCGATGCGTCCATGATAACGGGTGACGACGTGGTGAGCGGCCGGCACAAGCTTCCGGGTACAACCGTTTGTCCGATCTGCAATGCTTGGAAGTGGCCTGGCGAGTCTGCGATATCATGCTGCCTGGCAGGCAGGGTAAAGTTACCTCCACTGCACCCCGCGCCACCAAAGCTGCTTCAGCTGTACGGAGATCCCGAGTTCCGCCATCAAATCCGTGCCTACAACCAAGCAATTTTGCTTTTACGTCGATTGGTGCTTCCTGCTCAAACCGATCGTTCAAAACGG